AGTACCTGGATGAGAGACCTCCTGGGAAAAACTAAGGTTGCTGCTGGAAGAGGTGTTAGTGGGGCCAGCAGGGGGCGCTCACCCTGTGGTCCATGTGGGTCCTAATGCCCCAGTATAGTGGTGGGGACACTATACTGTAAACAGGTGTTGTCCCTCGGATGAGACGTAAAACCGAGGTCCTGACTTTCTGTGGTCATTAAAAATCCCAGGGTGTTTCTCAAAAAGAGTAGGGGTGTAACCCCGGGGTCCTGGCCAAATTTCCCATGCCTCCTAATAATCCCCCTCTATAAACTGGCTTCATTACTCTGCTCTCCTCCCCATCTGATAGCTGATGTTTGGTGAGCGTTCTGGCGCACTATGGCTGCCGTCACATCATCCAGGTGGGGCTGCACATTGGTGGTGTGGAGGGGAGTCCCCATTACCTGTAATGCGCTTTGAGTGGAGTGTCCAGAAAAGTGATATATGTGTGTAAGCAATTATTATTATAACACTACAGTACTGTTATCTCTGTATCTTGTATTATTTATATGTTATCTCTGTGTCTTGTATTATTAATCGTGTTAAGATGAATTATTATGGCAAAAGATTATGTTCGGTTTGTACTGCTGTACATGATGGATTCTTGCTGCTCCTAAAAATGTACAGGTTTTGAATTATGTCAACATACAAATTCATTCATACTGCTGATAACAATGGATGTAAACATCACAGCTAATCCCAGGGTCTACAGAACAAGAGTATATAGTATGTTTAAGTGTTTGCTCTTTTATTCCTCGATTGATTCATTCATTTTGCCATTGTGTTCTATAGCTTGAATTGTTTTTGTGAAAGGGTTCATTTTCAATTTGCTTCTGCTGAAGCAGAGAGACAGACACCTGCTGTGTGGACTGTTTGCAGAGAAAATTCGCTGTGTGAAAAAGCGTTACGTACTAAAGGTGGTAATCTTCACACTGGTCCTAAATATGCTCAGGAGTTTCTCTCTCATTAATGTCATTTTTATGATAGGTCATGGCATTTGAAGTGTACCAAAATGCCCGAAAATGATTATATTCTGAGCTTAGCAAGTGTACATTTTGGACACCTGTCTCGCTTTCCGGAAAAGCCTGTCTGTAATTAAACTTCTTTCACAGCCTCACTGTGACTTCTTTCACCCCCACCGTGTCTTGGACTGCCTTGGACTCTCGCGTACACCTCTCGCTTATGTCTGAAACTCCTTGAAACTATCTTTCACGATGGGGCACATCAAACACACAGGCACAGGAAGAGAGGCCGACAGCGGGCGTGTGAGAGAGAAAGCGCAGCCCCAAACAAACCAGATCAAACCAAAGAAAACAGGAAGAACAGGTGGCAGGAAGGAACGTGAGCTGTCACTGCCTCGCCAGCCACCCTGTACTTTACTTGGCATGAAGCCGCACGGGGAGCAAGAGGCCTCACTGGCGCTGGAGAACATGCCTGCCTGCAGGTTCACACAGCGCTAGAGAATGGTGCTGAGGGAGACTCTGGCAGCAGCACAAAGCAGCCCCCTGTACCTGCTGATGCTCACATCTCACATACTGGCTGGTAGGTCTCTACCGCGGCTCAGAGTAAAGAGCAGGCTCCTCGGATCACACTGTGTTTCTCTGGCTTTGCTCTCCTGTGCCTTATTGATCTGCTGCTTTCCCTCTCTCTCTCCCGCACACCTGAAGAAGGCTCTGCAGCCAAAACGTTGTGTTTCTTTTCTTTACCTTTCAGCAGGGAATGAACAGTCGCCCTTTTCTGGCTCTGCCTTACGTGGGCAATACATTTACTTTTCCATCATCTCTCATAGTTTATAGCATGCTTTACAGGATCTGTGTATCTTTACCATGATTTCACTTTGCTTTACCACATTTTCTTTAAAATGTATTTTTCCACAAAAAAACTGTAATATGTTGGCTAAAGATGCAGGGTATCTTGCAGGAAATCTTTGGCTCACTTAAAAATGCTCTCTTGTAGAGGTTTTAAATGTTTGAGCAGAAGTTAGCAATATTGTGTTTCTGTACAACAGTTTATCAAAGTATTATCAGGACCATAAATATTATTTTGTATACTTTTTAAACAAAGGACAAAGCAAAATAAGCAGGAATGTGTCAAGACTGATTAATGTAAATGACCAGTATGCATAGTAAAATTGTATAGAGAATAGAAAAACTCACATGCAGCTCACACGTGGTCAATTGGGTGTTACACAAAGTATTTAAAATAGAAAGGAATGTGTGTTTGGAGCTCATTATATTATTTTACTCCTCTCATGACATGATTCATGATCAATCATGGTAATAATGGTCCTATTGTTTTCTTTATTAATTCATTATTATTAAAAGTAGACTTAAAGTGGCTTGGAACAGCAGTTTAAAGAGTTTTTTAACAATTCCGTATTGTTAAGTAATGGGCAGGTACTGAGAGTTCTGAGAACTAAAACCGGTATGACATAGTTCAGGTGGGTAGCTGCGTCAGCATGTGTAGGCTGCAAAGGAACAAGTAATAGGTTTATTCCATGCTGAAAAAAAAGAAAGAAAACACAACGTTTCAGCCATGGACCCTTCTTCAGGTGTGAGCTCCTGCTCAAAATTCTTCTTTTTTTCAGCATGGAATAAATCTATTACTTGTTCCTTTGCAGGTATGACATAAACAACTTAGTAAAAAAACTTTAATAAATTATAATAATGAAGTCAAAATCCAGGACAATAGCAACTGAGTGTTTACATTTGTTGCTTCTAGATAAATGGCTACATTCCTTACATAGAAAAAATATGACCACACGCCTTTACTTGCTAAATTGTGTAAGTGTAAGCACTTACACTTACACACTATTGTGTCTTTAGGGGGATAATGGCACAACTTACCTGGAAAAGGTAAAACGCCATAGCTTGATGCTCAGTTTAGCCAGTTCCAGTTTAGGACATTCCTTTCCACACTGAATTTTACTGAATCACTCTGAACTCTGATTTTACTGAACTGATTCCAAAGTAGCAATATCTTTTTTTGTAAATGATATATAAATTGTGCACAATATTCACATTTGTAAAAAGTCATAGTTTTAACATATTGTTAACTATTGTCTTTAGCTTCTTCAAGCTCGCTGTGTCCCATCTTATATTTGTAGGTTATGTAATACTCTGTTCTAGTCTTCACTAAAAAACACAGCCAGGTGTTTGGTAGTGACCACCACTTGCATTTTGAGAATTAATCTTTTATGGGGACCTTTATCAAAAGTACTCAGAAAACCCAGATATACCATCATTTTTACTTCAAATAATTCTAACGTTATCTAAGCAATATCTACTTTTTCTAAATTTATGCTGATTAGCTCCTAGAATCCTCTAGCAGTACTTTTCTTTACACAGCCTATGTGTAATAACTTTATGTGTAGTAGAAGCATGGCGTATTAGGGAATCTCCTCTGCCTTGGATTATTTTGAGATGAGTGTGTCACTCTCGGTTATCACAGACCCTGCTGGCTGCTCCTGTTCTCCCAGCGAGCAGTCCTTAGATCTACTCTCCGATCCTGTCTGCATGCTGTGAATAGTCTTTACTTTATTTGTAGGCTCCTTACGAATGAAGAACTATGCCCCATGAAAACTAAACATAAAATTAAATGAACTTATTTCCCTACGGACACAAAGGTATAATAAAGAAAACCTGGCCCGGAGAGATTCTCTTGTAAACTTAGGTCGCGTTTTAAAGATTGATTTGTTTGCCTGTAGGTCTTCTGGCTCTCTGAGCACTCCAAGTGATGATAGTATAGCAGCAGAGGCACAATTACACTTCTGAAACACTTCAAGTCACGGTTGCTAGGTATCGTCTTTCATTTCGCTTTCTTGTTGTTTAAAAAAATGCCTCATTATAAGTGGTGTCTCTACTCTTCCTGTTTACCTTTTTATCAACTCTTATTTTACCCTTTGGGCAAGGGCAGCTTGTTTGGGGAAAAGGTCTAAAAAACAATGAAAAAAGAACAAAAGTAAAATAAACTACAGCAAGAAACCATTCACAAAGAGAAACAAAATAAATTTCTGACATCGAAGACAGAATTCAGGAATGTCAGTTGAGGTAATGAGTTCTGCTTTTATAATTTCACAATGAGAGCTCAGACCTGTTATACAGGTTTTCCATCTTGACCCCTGAGAAGAGCCCAGATTTAATATTGCTCAAGCACTACTGTTCTTTTTTTATCCAACATAAACAAGAGGGCAGCATAATTGTACCTAGGTTCACCTGTACATATTAATTGCCTGTCCAAGATTCCTTTCTCAATGAATCAAGAAGCCAGCAAACAGAACAAATGTGTCAGATCCAGGACCATTGGAGACTTGGTGCACCAAACCAGCAATGTCTGAGCCATAGGACTTTTGATGCTTCGTAACAGCTGTGCAACCTGCTTATGGTCGTTAAGCTTAAAAACAATGGGGCTAATGAGCTTATCTGAAAGTCGCATAATCACATTTCCAAAATAAATGTAGCATTTCACAGGAATAGCTTTATCGGTTGTTTCTCTTTGTTTTCTTTTTGGCATTCTCAACTTGTTGTTTTAACAACTGGTTATTTTCTGATTATTTTTGAATGAGAAAATATATCGCTCAGGAATGTTATGAAATGGCTTACAGCTTGAGTCACACTATGTTACTCACTCCAGTCACAGATCCATTATAATGCATACGGAACTGTAATCTTGCAGTAGAGGCTAAAATAAATGACAAAAAGTTCTTTCAGTATTTCAATAGTAAATAACCATAAAGAATATAGTCAAATGTCTCTGGGAGAAAATTGGCAACCTCTAAACATTGAAAGAGGATAAGCTGATGTACTGTAGTAAATGAGAATTTCACTCATTCCACAATGAAAACGTCAGCATGCCTCATGCAGTGTAACAAGGTTTTGTATTAAATATTATGAACATAGAAGAGTCTGATTTTGGACACATGGAAGGTTATAGAAACAATAAACTAACAAAACTTAAACTAGAGGTTTACCTACAGTTTATGGAAACAAATATCAAGGATATAGCATGGATTCACTTTTTACACAAGTAACATCAGAAATTAATACTAAGCATATTGATAAGGTGTATTTATATTTTTAGAAGACTTCTGACAATGTTCCTCACAAAGGATTCATTCTGAAAGGACATGTAAACTGTGTGGGAACAGGATAATGCATGTGTTAATTTGAGTCTGTTTTAATGCAGTATCCCCAGGTATTGAGAAACTGCCTCCTCCTCAAAATGTTGAGGTTGAATCGACCAATATGAAGCACTTCCTGAAGTGGAGCCCCTTGCCTGCGTCCTTTGGCCTTGTCAGCTATTCAGTGCAGTTCCAAGGGTAATCTGCCCTGATTCCACACCTAGAGTCACGTATTCACCTGTGTCTCAGCTGCCCTGATTTTCACACCTACTGTAGTTACGTATTCACTTCTGTCTCAGTTGCACTGATTTCCACACCTGAGTCAAATATTCACTTGTGTCTCAGCTGCCCTGATTTCCACACCTAGAGTATTCACATATTCACCTGTGACTCAATGTCACTTAGGCCATATTTGCAATGGAATTTGCTCAAAGGGTGCAGCACAGAGATACAATGGATAGCAATGCTACCTCACAGCACTAGGGCCATGGGTTGAATTGCAGATCTGGGTTCCCGTTTGCGAAGAGTTTATACAGTATGTTCTCCCTCACAGTCCAAAAACATACTGGTAAATTAATTGGTTTCTGGTAAAACTGGCCCCAGTGTGTGAGTGTGTGTTTGTGTCTGTGTCTTCCCTGCCATGGATTGGTATTCTGTCCATGATGTACCCTACCTTGTGCCCGTTTCTTGTTGGGACGGGCTCCAGCATTCCCAAGACACTGAATTGGAAGAAGAGGTTAGAAAATGGATGGAATTATGAATTTGCCCATAGTTTACCCAAAGGCAGAATACACAAGCTTTTAGCTGTATTGCTTCAAGAGTATTGCTCCTTTCTGAATGCAGAGAATGTAACACTTGACATTTACTGTCCAAAATGAGTCAGACATAGCCGGAGAGACACTTGCTCATCATTTTTAACACGTGCATTGTTTTCTGGTGGTTGTGGCAGGGAATTTGAGTTGCTGTACAGAAATGGGAGCTGGGAAGACGTGTTTGAGTGCCAGCTGATTGCCCACAGCACCTGCGACATGACTGACTACATTGCCTGTAATGTTGACTATAATATCAGGGTTCACGCACAGAAGGGGGGTCAGAGATCAGACTGGGCGTCAATCAGACAGCTCTTCAACAGCAGGCAAAGTGAGTAACAGCTAAGGAGAAAAAAAAAGAAAATCACTGCAAAATTTTTCAACACTAATGAAGAACCATTTCCAATACCAGCATATACATTTGCTTAAATTTAGATTCAGTGCTGAAAATACTGTTGGCAGATCTCTCTATTTTGGTCTGATATATTTGTCTGATTCTTCGGTAGCAAAACTGACCACACCCACAATGACAGTGACTGCTGCAAGGGAGTTCATTAGGGTAACCTTTGCAGAAATTCCCAAATCCATTGATGTCATCCTTAACTACTGGAAAAAGGGAAAAGAAAGTAAAGTAAGTATCGATTTCTTTTCTAGAAAGCAAAACATTTTTTGAACAATCGAAACTCTCACAGTGTTTCATTTGTCCACGTATGTCTTACTGGAAAAAAAAGTAATGTTCTTTTGATTGTATGATTTTAAAAGACATACGATTATTTTAGTTGAAAAGTTTGCAGCAATAGTCCATCCATAGTAGAAACATGGAAGATTTTAAGATCCTCTGACCATGTGCTCATTTCATGCATACAGATTACATTTCCTGTCAGTTTATTCTCTCAGCACAGTTAGTGCACACAGTGATGCACAGGAGCACAGCCCTGTTCGAACATCACACGCTGAAAGTCAGAAGGTGAAAATGAAAGGTTATTGAACTTCACAAATGCTGAATGAATACAAAACAGCAAGGTGACAGGCCTACCCACAGTACCCACTCTAACCAGGTAGTTTGTGAGACCTGAGCCCATAAAAAATACAATAGCTAACAAAATCTTGTGTGAAGAGATTTTTATCCTATCAATCATTTATTAAACCAAAAACATGGGAAAATGTGGATCTCAGCCATAAAGTAATTACCATTATCAAAATACCAAGCATTTATAGAGATATAAAAAACAACGCAATCTCTGTGCTGTTAAGGGATGCCTTATCCTGTCATGATGCAGGTTTCACATTTGGTCAATTGGCAATGGACATTTTCACCAGCGCTCTTAAGATATAACTAACTGTTCAGGATACAAATGCCCTCTTCTAGCTAAACTCTGCTATCTACAACATTGTAAGCAGCTCAGTCTCTCATAAAGTCACAGAACTGCTTTTGGAATGCCAATCCTTCTACTAGAGAAACCCTGTACCCTGTCCACATGTTCCAGGACGGATGCTTTTTGTTTGTACTGTTAACACTGGATCTTGTGTTTCTTTTGCAATCTTTTTCACTTGCCTGCTAGAAAAACAAACAGCTACCTCAGCATGGTTGCTTTTATTATCACACAGACAGGCCTTCTCAGGTACAAACTCTAATATTTTCAACACAGTACTTACATACTCTTGGTTATTGCCCGATAACCTCTTTCTTTCACATAAGGTTTTACCTCCCATCATTTTTTTCCTTTTCATTCCTTTTTACATTATGTTAGGAAACAGGTAGCATAGAGAGTAGAGAGTAGAGAGTAATTTATTGCCATACTGTACAGTATGTACACATACAATGGAATTCTTAATCCAGCTGATCTTTCGGGACATACACAGTACAACAGACATGACCACACAATTTAGAGAGTACTGTACATTCCAAACATAATAAATAATAACAACAGAACAATAAATATTTTTACGTGAACACTTCCAGACCTCTCAGGAGTGTTAGGATCAGCTTGAGGAGTCTTGAGACTTTCACTAACCACGCTGGCATAGGGAATGCTGAAATGCGAAAACTTCAACAGATTCAAGGGCATTCATCACTGATGGCAGACACTGGTGCACAGGCACCTGGGACACCCCAGCCCTGGGGAAAGTGGACAGAGTCACTCTCGTTACTGCCATGCTCTTTCTGTCTAAATGAACCTGTGGACCTATGGTGGTGACCTCACTTTGTTATCATTGCTACTTATTTGAAAATGAAAATTTGCATCACTTACAGATTGGTTTTTATGATGCTTTGGAAATGTTACATGATGTATAAATCATCCTGTATATCTGGTTGAGGAATTTTATAGATTAAGCAGATTAAGCAATGAAGCTAAATGGGTTGTTCTTTTGCAATTACAATGTAGGTGTTCCAAAAAACCATCACTTCAGAGGAAAACCCTTTTCATATTGTCAACATTGAGGAGGGAGTCATGTACTGTCTCAGAGCATTAGCCTTTGCAGAGTCAATCAATAAGAAGAGTGAATCTACAAACCCACAGTGCTACTTCGTTCCTAGTGAGTACCTGCCTTCCAGAAGTGGGCAAGAATATAATTTTACAGCTACCAGATAAGTGTCAAGCTTATTATTCATCAAGGAGATAACAGTGTGCTTAATTTACAAAGTTGACTAATCAGTAACTGTGTTTTTTATTTTATATAGTGTCTTTCAATGGTTCCACTTTATTTGCATTCACCGCTCTTCCCAGATCTCAAAACAGTAAATTTAACATTTTACTACCAGGTTTAATAAAAGCATCTACAATGTTTAACACATTGAGAACAGAATTTAAAATGACTTGCATGCATATTTTATCCTCCTAAAGCAGCAGAAAGTCTGGAATGTGTGCCGGCAGTGAACTTTTGCACAGAAGCAGCAGCAGGAACTGTGACAATAAGAATTACAGGTGTTCAAACCCATTGCCACATTTGGTGTACTGTACGGGTTTGTGCTCCGTATACTGTACATTACACTGTTTGGTGCCACATAAGAAAGAACAGTTCTGATATATAGTAACACAAAATATGAATCACAATATTACCTGTGAAAAACACTTTCAGAAACATACTTTTGTCAGGTTTTGCAAGTTGACCTAACCTAATTCTTTTGTAAGGGCGGCTTCAAAATAATGACAGAAGCTGGATTAAGAAGGCTTTGCCTTGGCATGGAGTTGAAAATCAATTACGCAATCTCCTCCCTGGTCTCAGAGCTTGGCAGTAACACAGGAATCTCAGCTATGTTCCACGGCCTATGCTGTTACACGTCCAAAAATCTTCAAAGCGAAAGTGGATTGTTAGTGAAGTGCCAGTCATAACTTGCACACAGTGGCTCACACAGGTGGATAGATGGTGGAGCTCTAATGGAAAGCTTGAAGGAAACATAGCTTTCTTGCACACGAACTGAAAACACTCTGCAGATGGGTTAATTCCAGTGTCTCCCTTGAAAGGTCCAGTACCTCAGTGGCTGCTGCCCACAGTCTTATGCACCTCTATTTTCCTGGCTCTCCTGCTGCTCATCTCCCTGCGGAAGTATTACTCTGTCCTCCAGTCCGCCTGCTGCCCGAAGGAACCCCTGCCAGATGTCCTGGTGAGCTGAGTGTGATTTTTTGTTTCTGACATGGAAAAAAAAAAGAAAATAGATAAAGGAAATTGTAGAGGATGCCAAAGGTCATGGTGCAGTTCAGGGAAGTTTTGAAAAGAGGTTTATTCTGTAACGGAGAGGCCTCCAGGAGACAAAACTGACAAAGTGATTTTCTATCCCTGTTTGACCTACGTACAAATGTTCTCAAGCACTTCATATACTCTACAACATATATTTAAATTTAAAATGAACCTTTTGTTCCTTTATACAAATGACTTTGTAAAAAAATATATCATTAAAAAATATCTGCAAAGCCCTGCTCATCTGTAGCAGACTCATATCTGTCTCTAACACACTTTGCTTTTCCTATACTGGTCTCTTTCTGTTGTAATATTGAACTTGGCTTTACTTTTGGTTCTCTCGGTCCATAGAGAGGACAAAACATGTTTCCGTGTGGGCTATAGATCTGTGGGGTATAGACAATTTTCCTCATTTACATGTTTTTAAGGCCAATGTTTTCCAGACCACAAATTTGCTAACCTTTAGGACGATTTCTGTCTATAGTATATCTGTGTTTTTGACATTTAGCCAAGCTTTTCAAATTTGTCTTAAGCTGCCTCATTCTCTTAAAGCTTTCCTTCTTAGAATCATAAACCTTTTACTTAAGCTCTGTGCTTCTAAGTCTGACATACACCTTAAAGGTGATTGTGTTTCTTACTGTACCATGATCAACTAAAAAGAAAGGCTTATGTAGCACCTTTTCTTTGTTGCTCCTCTGACAGTTTGAGTGACAAAGTCATCATTTACTATATCATCCCCTTCACCTTCAGCATCTGTGCTTCCAAAATGGTTAATATTAGTCTGCGAGGACAATTGAAACACCCCAATATGACTTCATGCTGTATGGAATAGGTCTGAATCATCATCACAACTGACTGCTGTGACTAAACGTCTTGGACGTCTATTCACATTTTCAAACTGTAAAAAAAAGCAGAAGTATCAGTGCTATCTACAGTATATTTGATTTTTCTACTGCTCTGCCATTTTTTATATGTGCTAAGGCACTGCCTCATCAGTCTTTCATGTTTCATCTGAACAATCCACCCCTGCTTATATTAAATTCATCTCCATCACTCTCTGAATGCTACATTTCTGTAACCCCCTGATCCCTGTTAAATAATTCACAATCACCTTGCTCAACCCAATGCATTCTCTCACTCTTGATTGAACTGTAGAGCATTCTGCCTAGACCCTCTGTTCTAATTAGAAGCCCAGTGCTCCAAAAACCTAGATCCTTCTTCTCTACTCCAGGATTCCATTCCCTTGATTAATCTTTGTATATCTGAAGTCCTGGAATAGCATGTGGTACTAATGTGGTGAGAATATGGATCGTGACGATTGGATTCCCCCTAGCTCTAGCCAAGTATTGATATCTGAGCACCAGGCAGGCAAGAAATCAAATAGGTCTCCTTGTGACTTAGTACACAGACTATGCTCTAACCATCAAATGCCCCACTGCTCCTATCTTCCTCTTCTGGATAGGAATGTGAACTGTGGTGCCCCAGGACTCATTCAGTTTGCCCTTCAGGTCTGGGCAGTCAGAATCCAAATTGGTGTCCAATAATTGGAATCTATCAGACACCAACTTTTAATACTCTGTAGGGCTTGTACCCAAACCTTTTCTACTCCAGACTGCACTAGAACCTCAATCCCTCAGCATCTGGCCTGCAGACCATCTCTGGAAAAGGCTGACTAACCAGTTACTCCAGATCTCTTACTCCCAAAGATTTCCACCTATTCCACATGCCAACAGTCTTTAGAGATTAATCTTTCCTGGATATATTTAGATAGAAATACGATACTTCTGAAAATCAGACCCTGAAACTGTCACGGATGTTGGAAGGGACAAACCATGGAGAGGCAGGAGATCGAAAAAGACCCTATGCGAAGCGGCGGAATGAGGGGGTTAGCCCAGGCTCAGCAGTGCAAAGAGTTCGGGAGGGCCGTATAGAGACCTATGTCCTCAGGTCACGGACGGAGCGGCGACCTGGTGCAAGGCGGGTCTCAGGACATCCGAACGTCAATACTGAGCGAAGCAGAATAAGTGACCCGGAAATATATAGCCCCAGAGATAGAGAGACCGGAAGGAGAACAAAGGACAGGAAACTAGGGACAGGACAGAGTAGGAGCGCCCTCTGGCTGCAGAGGGCATGACAGAAATGGCCTTATGCTTTTAATTTGAGGTTCAATACTTTGACAGCAACTAGCAACTAGCAACTAGCAACTGTACTGAGGTTTGTAAATTTAAGAAAGAGAAAGAAACAAAGAAAAAGCTGTCTTATAAGGAAGCTACATCCTGCTCTCTTATTAGAACACAAAGAAATACCAGGAGCGATTTCATCTTAATTCTCAAGGTAAACGTGTTTACTCTGCTAAACTAGAGACTGAAAGCACGGATGATAGATTAAATTGATTAAAACCAGTCTAGCAATTTTCCACAAAACCAAAAAACAAGTATACCAAACTAAAGTACTAAACTGCAAGCTATGTGAATCACCCGTTGAGGGTTTTCATGGGGTTTCTGTAATAAATGAAAGATTTCAGCTTCGATCAAGGAGGCTTTACTCTGGGACTGAACTGCACATTTCACTGGTTTCATCAATTAACATTCGGGGGGGGATCTGTGCAGTTTTGGCATAAGGAGGTGATGGAGGTCTGTCTCGTTTTTCATTTTTCTTGAGCCAACCATGCACTGCCCACCATTGAGAGCTCCACATGATTTTGCCCTTGAGGTTACTTATTTTTTCTGGTGTGTGAGCAAAACATTCGAGGCCAAAGATAAAAAGAGTGAGAACAAAGATATTTTTCACAAAGAAAATCAAATGTATGATTAAATGGGGAAGTTATAACAGTGGCTTTTGTACTACAGTTTATATATGTCCTCCAACTGAGATCTTGGTTGAATTGTAAAGCTAACTGTGCATAATACTCATTTACTGTGTTCTAAACTATGACAATGGATGCCTCAATGAGGCAGGCTTAGATGGCTGTTGGGAAAATTCTCATAGAATCTGTGAAATGTTTGTTTAGCATCAACATGAAACACAGTGAGGGGATTTTCAATGGAATAAACACAAAGGCATGAGAAAAGAATCACTAGACCTCCTAAAAAATGCTGTGTCATAAGCCTGTTGCACCTTCAGACATCTGTTGCCTGCCTGGGACTGTACCTGTCAAGAACAGATTGTTAGAACCAGTGGAGGGTGACAACTCTCGTGTTTTCAGTTGCAGGACCTGCTAGACTACAAGGTGAAAACACAGCACAGCAGCAATAGGCCCAGTGAAGTCTGTGATGCCATCCTTGTCCTGCCTGCTGAGGAAGGCTGAAATACAGGACTCAGAGGCCAAAAGGAAGAGGAACAGAACAAGGCAGGAAGAATTAAAAGGAGCACACCACTTGGCCAATGGCACTTGAGACATACCCTTCATTTACTTATTCATACTGCACAAAAAAGGGGGACATCTGGACACAGTTCCCAGGACACTATTTGGGAACTCATCTACAGCAGGAGTGACTGAGCAAACTCTCTGATTTTCCTGTTGGACCAAGCTTGCGATGTATTGCTCCTAAGGTAGCATTTATCCAGTAACTGCCCAGTTCAATGGAATCGAAGCTGGACTAGGGAACTTTTAAAGTACTTTTTACTGCACAATAGTGTGATTGCAAGCACCCTGACTTTTTCCAGTGTTAAGATCATTCGAGAACTCTTGAGACTCTGAAACCAAAATTATTAAAAAGTATTTATTTATCACATTAAATTATCTATTTTCTCATATCTCAGGGTTATTTCAAAGACAGTTTGAGCCAAAACACATTGAATGCTTGACATGATCTGTTTCTGTACCCAGGATGCACAGAATTTGGATACCTGACTATTTTGGACTTTTTACTCAGAAACTTCAGTATTCATGCTTAATTATTTAACAATATAATTCCCAGGCCAGGGCCAAAGATGAGAAAATGTTAAATATACTGATTGCGCTGAGTCCTGATAGTCCAGCATGATGTTCTGTAGCAGGACTTCATGATTCAAAATGGATTTTAATGTTCCATAACATTAAGCAATTCCTTTTCAAACATTGCAAGGCCATAAGAAAAGGGTAACAATACGAGGAGGTCATCTACAGTAGCTCATTTGATTGCTAGATAATTGATCTAAAGACGTCCTCTGCCTACTTTCTGTCTCAAACTCACAACCTTTAGGCAAATAAGTGCCAGTTTCAAATGCTCTTCTTACAGTGCTTCTGTAAAATCGAGAGAAAAAACACATGATCTCAGTAGACAATTCTCATTTCACATGTTTACTGTCCACTATTTAGACATTTATTTCCCTTACCTTTGATCTTGCACTTTCCAGACATAAATCCGAGGGTTAAAACTTTTACAGGGTATTATGTTATTGCTCTATGTGGTTTATTTTCTCCATTCAAAATAAAAATGTGATTATTTAACTTTTTATTTTTATTTTTTCCCCTCCCCCAGTGTGGAGAACATGTGCTTCTCATGTGCTTCTTTCCTGCATCTTACATCCATTCTATAAATTCCATATATTTTCATATCCTCTTATTTATTCATTCTTCTGTTATATGATAAGTAGTGTGAACCACATTCTTAACATTCAAAACATGTGGGAAATACATTGAAAGATCACTGCCTAAGGAAGAACAAGAGATGAAGAAAATTACACTTCTCTGCAAACTAATCCAGAAAGAAAACACTTTGGGGTCCACATTGGGCATGAATTTTAAAACAAGTACCTTAGCACCATTTTAATCATGAAACCTTTTTTAAAATAAACAACTTGTATTTATTGTCCAGGAAGATCAGACTGGAAATAAACTTGTCATTTATGTTCTCTGTTCATTACTTACAACCCCAAGTCTGAATCACCAGTGATCCACTAGAGATGAAGAAAGGCTGAAATGCAAACTCTTATGGGACTGTATTTATACATAGATACAAATGGAATAGCTCAAGATAAAGAATATATTGCAAGGAAAATGCTTTTTGAGATGTCTTTGAAAATTCCACCTTTGTTTAAAAAATATTCATGCGGTATGCAATGTGCATTCACAGCAGATGTTTTTGCAATGTATCTTTCCTAACAGCAGGTGGCATTGCAGGATGAACTGGACCATCATCACCTCATACGGTGTTTGAGACTAGCTCATTAACTAACCATAAGTCCTTTTCAACTTTCATATTTCAAAGGTCCATAAACTTGACTGAAAATGTACATTTACAAAAACATTTCAGAGGTATTTCTTTTCTTGTACCTTTGCTGATGCAATGTTACTCAAAGCATTCTGAAGTGGATTGACACCATCAAAGACTACTCCTCTGGGAATGTATCCAAGCTCCAAAATTTATAGCTCCTGTTCTGCATATAAATCTACACAGGCAATCTAAGCAATAAATACATTTACATGAATATTTTAAGAGGCTGGTTCAAGTTTACTATTGCAAACTGCGTAAGTCAGTTTCAGGTGTGAAATGACAAATGTACTAATTTAAGGGGCGTGGTCACTGGAGAAACTGAACTAAAAAAAAAAGAATAGCAACTAACTTTTCAACCAAGTTGTGCAGTGAGCATCACAAATTCTGATCAATACTTTGTTTCTTTTCAAGAAGCAGGGGCATGTTTTCAGCATGCAGCTGAGTTTACTGACTCTTCTACTCTACGAAGGAACTGTGCCACATGAAAGACAAGGACGCAGGGGAACTGTCAGGACACAACTGCTAGCTGAAATAAGATTAATAAAGTAGCGACACATTGGGAACTACAATTATTTCCCTTCTTCCCTCATTACCAAATGTCACGCATGAGAAGACTGGTTTACCGTGTTAAAGCAGCTTGTTGCTTCCGGGAGGTCTCCATTTCAAATTGTAAACGTACTACCACATAGGCAACACGACACAAGATTGTTTTTGTTTAGATGCTTCACGTTTACAGATGATTGCTTTCCGTGAGGGGCACACATATATATTTGCTGTGTATTGGCTTGGCTCCAGCAAAAAAAAAAAGACAAAATCAGCCAAATTAAAATCAAGTGTTTTGGCTTCTACTGTACATATAGTGATATTTATTTCATTTTATTCAGCTGGATAACGCAATTTTCTGCTTGGCGGGCTGACCACGATGGAGATGCCAACAGTGTGCAATGTGGTGTACCTACTGTAATGATAGTTCTGTTGGGAAACATTCTGAGGTGTGAACACCAAGAAAGGATAGTTGTCCAAGTGAGAAGAAAACTACAAATAGAGCAACAATGTAAGAAAATTAAAGCGCTTTTCTCTTAAGGCCGTTGCCGTTCTGTGCATCACTGCGCCCCACCACCCCAATCCCAAATACAAGACACGGAAGCTACAGAAGAGGTCCTGCACCCTTGCAAATCCTAGCACTCGGCACACTTCCACTGTGAGGTCTAACACACTGGCGCTTAGTGTAGTCAGCAGCCATGAACACCTTCATCCTGGTGCTTATCTGCTAATGTAAATGCATGGTTTATCACGATGAAACACTCCCCAACGAATTTCTCCAATTACCTGCTTCATTGGCATTGCTTACCGGGGTCCTGAGATACGAGATAAAGCAAAAAAAATACTGAGCGGTCTTTTGTTTTCTCAAGTAACGCATTTAGGTTTAATTAATTTCAATGTTTAAATGTATAAATTAAATTCATGAACAGATGCTATCATTATCCCAAGTTTTACCACAAGCGTAAAGTAGTTTAAAAACCTTCGCCCCTTACCAGTTCAGTTACTCTGTATTGCATATATAGCAGTATCGGCCGAAACAGGGGAGAAGGCCTAATGGGAAATGTGGGAGATGACCTGCAAGCCTTCATCACCTGCCCAATGGGAGGTGAATGTCAACTGCCAGGTGACAAAGTTGATGCTTTGCTCAGATCAGGTGACTCCTCCTTACCTCCCCCTGACAATATTAAGAAAACATCAAGCAGCTGAGTATTACCAATACAGAAGGAGCCTGACTGAGCCATGATTTAGGGCAGTCATTGCAAAAACTCTTGCTTTCTCCAAATTTGAGATGATCTTGATGAGATCTGTCCGTAAACGAAAGAATGCAGGGTCTTCCCTATATGTGAACAATCACTATGCAGCAGCAGGAGCCTGTCTCTCGTCTGTGCGGATCCGCAGTAGAGCCTGTGCAGATCCGCAGTAGAGCCTGTGCTGCGGGTCCAGGTGATCTGACGTCCACGAGGCCTGAGAGCAGCTCTTCACAGACCCCGACACAGCCTGCTGCCTAGGGGGAGGCGCCCCCTCCTCCTCCAGGGCCGCGAGTCCTCATCTCGTGCCAGATCTTCACCAGGGGCTCCCGGTTCTTCCAGATCAGCTCGTGCCCGTAGAAGACGTACCAGCTGCAGCAAGAGGGGATAAAGAAAAGCCGTATGAAAACAGTACAACACCAGGCATGCAGACTCACGGTGACTCTGCACTGTTTAACACTGGTTCTACGATCATCATCTTCAAGGTGCATTCTTGATATCCCATTTTTCATGGCTGAATTCAAATCGCTGCCCGACCGCCTGCCAGTTCAGAAACAACCTCCCTTTTCCATGGGAAATCAGTGCTTGTGCTCCTCAGTTTCCAGAGTATGGAAATAGAGGAGCACAATGAATGAGTATGCACTACACTGAAAGCAGGAGGTGTTTCTGGAATAAACCGCCCAGCAACACTGTTGACTCCCTGAGATCCTTCAAGGAAAAGCTGGGCGAGATCTTTCAATCAACAAGTTACTTACAAGCTCGCAAGCAAGATGGACTAAAGGGCCTTTTCTCATCTGTAACCTTTCTTATGCTCTAGTGCTCTCCAGCAAGAGCCAGTTTCGGCAAGAAGCAGACAGAAGCATGGCAGGCACGCAGGCATCAGGAGGCTGAGCAGTCAGCTCCCCCCGTGAGAAGGGCGAGGACACGGGCTCACTCACATTCCGAACAGGGCTCCCCCTAAATGAGCGGCGTGGTCAAAGAACCTCCATCCCAGAATGAGGCCAGCCGTGTCCATGGCGACGATTGCTTTCAAAGCCTAGAATGATGAAAGGGAGACCATGCAAGATGAAAAGGCATCATGCTGCAGACACTGCTAGAAAGAAGAATGACCAAAAAAAAAAAAATGACGACTAAAAACATCATAAAACATTATGTGGATTTTAGTAATAAAAAAAACATACAGACCTTCTGAGCCAAAAAATACCATTTAATACTTAAAGTCAGTTTAGAAAGAAAACCAGAAATAATCTAGGAGAGAACAAAATACCACTTGCAATTACATGGTCCAAATTCAGCAACAATACATCTATTCATTTTCTAACTGCTTCATCCAATTCAGGGTCACGGGGGAGCTGTAATCTATCCCAGTAACAAACGGGTACAAGGCAGGATACACCCTGGACAGAACACCCTCCCATCACAGGGCAAACACAGACACACGCACCTTTTGGGCTGTGGGAGGAAACTGGAGCACCTGGAGGAAACCTACGCAAACACGGGGAGAACAGGTCCGCAACTGAAACCAGGGGTCCAGCACTGCAAGGCCGCAACGCTAACCACTGCGCCACCATGCCACCCCTCAGTTACAATCAAAAACTCTTATCAGCAACCATGTAAACTGCAAAAGAAACCTGGGAGCAGCACATGCGTTCATGTGGGTGTGCACACACACACACATTTCAGCTCAGGTCTGCAAGTGTGTTTTTTCTGCTTAGGCAACACCGTAATTCGTTGCCCATGCCAACGATGAGCCTTGAATTTGAGTATGGCAGCTGCTTGGCTACTCACACTGCCAGCTGTGAAGGTGAACATGGGCAGGAAGATGATGGCCAGCTTGGCCTCAGGCATCTTCGTGCAGACCGCAGCCAGGACGGTCATGATGGCGCCAGACTGGGGGCGGACAGGAAAAGACAAGCTGCATTTTCATGGAATTAAAATCCCAAAGCTCAGTTTCAATACTTTTACCACAAAAACGTCAAATTGAATTTTGATTGCACGGCTTGAAAAAAAGTCAATGGGAAACTGTGCACTGCATTGCGTTAATTCAATGCTTTGCAAAAAAAATAAATTGAATCTGCCATCAGGAGTGTACATTGGGGATTAACAAAAGCAATGCGAGGCACTCAAGTGAAAAAGGATTGATTAACACTTGCGCAAGCACATCTCCCCTGATTAGAAATTGTTTTCAATATTGTTTTGAATTACCGTCTAGTTCAGATTTCACCAAAACTATTTCAGTATTTTCCTTAGGTTGGTCACACAGCAGTAACATACTGTTCCTAAAACAGCATTTAATCTCTTAATTAAGATTAAATTAAATCTCTGTGCATTTGTATTACTTACAGCTCCGAGCGAGGGGCCTAGTCTACCCATGGCTGTTTTGCATACATAGCTTACGAATGTTGAAATCACACCTGAGAATGACAAGGATTGAGCAGAGATAAACGAAATGTTCATGAAAACTGCACCACTAACCAAACGTTCTGAACTACAATCATTATTTGCTCTCACACGTTTACAGGTTAAACTGAATTAAGGCCATCTAGCCCACTTGGTAGTTAGCAGTTAACTGATCCAAGATTCTCATCCAGTCCTTTCTTGACAGAAATCAGGGTACTGGCTTCAACAATATGGCTGGACAGCTTGTTGCACACTCCCACAACTCTTTGCGTAAAAAGAAAACCCTCCATTGATGGCTTTAAATGCACTTCCACTTCATTTTCTCTTGTGTTATAAGGTTCATTTATCATTGAGGCACCTGAAATCCCTAGTGTGATGGAAAACTGAAATGAACAAAACACAGAAGGGATCTGATTAAGGACGGCACTTGCTAGTTGTGTCTGGCACCATCATCTTAGTCTCCTGCCCCCTTGAAAGCCCTTCCCTCACCTGCGGAAAGGTACACAGCCATGAACTGCTCGCGGCCCAGCAGGGAGACGACGCTGGAGGAGAAGCTCCACAGCACGTACATGTTGGCGGCCATGTGGAACAGGGAGTAATGGCTGAAGGTGGAGAGGATCATCGGGGCGCACACAGCCTCTGAGAGAGATGGCAAGAGACACCGATCAGACTCGAGCAGCTCAATCGGCTTTCATCGGTATACAGCAATACAGGCTTATATACTTACATGTAACAGTCGGTCTTCAGCTAGGTTTGCATACAGCAGGAAGCTCCTGTTGGCAAAACATCTGACTGGGGCTTGCTTTTAAGTGTTAAATATCCTATTTAGTTTAGAATAATAATTTGGATTTTTTTTAATTATTCAAATAAAAAAAATCTTCCAATTGCAAGCAGGTAATGTTTAAAGCATCTACCTTTTTTAAAATCAGTAAGTTTTCCAAATACTGGTACGTTTTAATGTTTATATTAAAGCGATCATTTACTGAGCAAGGCTTTGTCTATTTGTATCCTTTGTAAGATGAATTAAATTACCTACATGCAGGCTTTTAAACTTGTCAATATACCCGTGCAGGAATTTAAATTATAAGTCTTGGGTGGTAGCGAATTGTACTTGTTTTAACACACTCACAAACTACACTTTCGATCCATCAATAACTGACAAGCAGCTGTTTATTTCTATATTCATTACATGAACTGATTCTTGGTCTTGGTGTGCCCAAATAAACCCACACTCATACCTGCATCCTAATGTGGTTTTGATATAAAATAATTGTCTCACATTCAGGTTGGGCCCTGGTCTAGTGTATTCAATTGATTAACAACCTTTCCCTTATATACTGCATCCATGATATGCATATCCTGAATACAGGTTTTTTATTCCTTTCTTTAACAATAATTAACAATTTTGAGTGGCCCAGAAAGTGGGAATAAATAGGAATACATATATATATTTTGGTAGGAATTATATCAGTTGCAAATCAGGTCAGAGTATTTTAAACCACAGAAGCCCTCTAGCATTGATCAATTCTAGAAATCACTGCCAAGCTGGGAGGACCACTGCACTTGGAAGAAATTTCCATTTACAGGTATTCCAACCCAAGGATTTCAACAATGAAGAACAAGCAGCACACAACCATTACTGCTTTGGTTTCACATCATACTGGTTTATCTTGTTAAGTGATTACAGATAAACTACCGTATGTAAGGATTAGCACTTTGTGTCTGGCTTTGCCCGGTTTAATGAGGACAAACAGCAATGCAAATACAATGTACGTCTTAGCTACAGTAGTTGAAGAGGCTTAATAAAGCAAGCCCAGAGGTTAGATGCTCACTGGAAGCAGGACTGGAGGTGAAGTATTTCATCATGGTCCGTTGCATGGAAGGCACTCTCCATAAACAGAACACGAGTGCGTTAGCAGCGATAATCCCTGTGGATACAGAAGGGAAGAGGAGAACATTAGGAGTGCATGATGCTTAGGGACTGCAACAAATTCCTTAAATGTCTCGCCAATATTTCTCTGATTTCGGAAACCCCCCTCTAACTAACCTTATAAAGCCATGTTGTTCAGTAATGAAGCCAAAAGTGACATACTGTTAGGCAAGAATTTATCTTGTTTCAAATAAGAAGTGAACTGTACCTATAGCTCCAAAACCTTAACTTTCCAGATGCCTTTGAAGACAGACTCGGTCCTCACTATTGCAAATAAAACATTTTCTTCCTCATCCATCCATTTTATTACCGATTCTTCCAATTCAGGGTCATGGATTGGCCAGAGCCTACTGGGTGCAAGCAACGGGCTTTTATTCTTCTTGTATGCTAAAATATCAATGCTGGAGGCCATTGCCTGAGAGAACACTACACTGTGTGTAATCGTAGTGTAATTTAAAAGTTTTCTCCAGTACTGGAAATTTGTCGTTCAGGAACTTTATCATAGAGGAATTGAAAGATAGAAGAAATCTAGTTGCACACAATACTATGAAATCCTCTGTCAAAAACTATGCAACGCTGTTGCACCTGAAACAACCTCCAATATTCACATGAAATCACTTCAAGCTTTGCAGGATGGGCAAAAAATACTAGACCTCACTACTTTCAGTCCAGACCACTCCACTTTCCACAATTTGCAGGTGCCGGGCTGTCAGAGGACAAAATTGGGCAGGTTCTGTCAGAGTTCAGCTTGTTGAAGTCCAGAAATGGAAAATGATAATATTGCACTACACTCCATGATGGAGGGCTATTTAACAGCAATGTAAATGTATGGGGTTCAATAATTTTTAGCAACAATTATTGAAATGCATAAAAACGCTAAAGTACTGTGGAAACACTGCACTGGTTCTTAGCAAATAATTTTTCTTAACTTAAAGGCAAACTGCAACTCTATTTTTGTATTTTGAGGGTAAAAAGAATTGGCATTGATAAGTGCATTTCAAACTACAATGAAATTAAATTGTATGCAGTAACATTCAAAACCTCCCATTTAGATCGCAAAATAGACCATTTCCAGGTATGCCCAGCACCATGTTCTGGGATTCAGAACAAGGCAACAAGACTTCAGGTGACGTGAGGCAGCCCTATTACATTGTAAACAGGCTTGTGAATACATCTCTTTTGATCCAATAACTGCGAGGTGGTTTTGATTATTCATTTGTTAACTATCCATGGGTACCACTCTGGAACATTTCCGTGATGAAATGTTTAAAACAAACAATAACTGGAAGGCTGACCCACCTGTGACTGTCCTCTGCCCCTCACTCAGGCTGTTCCACCACTGGTTCACCTGAAACAGAACAACAGCAGTTCAGGGGAAGTCTGAGGGTTGACTCCACCAGCGGTGCCAGTAATTGGAGTCCTCAGTCTGTAAAACACAGTATCCGGGCTTTGGCTACTGCAGAAACTAAGAACATAAGAAAGGTTACAAAGAAAAGGATTCCTCTCTGCCCATTTTGTTTCCTTTGTCTTTTAAATCCAAGGACCCCATCTGGACGTTATGTGAAGCTTTCCAGGTAATCCATTTTGAAGATATTGCTGGCATCTTCCTCCACAGGAGATATCACATCCACTTGGTCTACTACTGGAGCAGACAATACCTTCCTGGATTTTAAATACCTGATCCTAGTTCTCAGAGTGAAAGAAATGGGAGTTTTGTACATGTTCCCTGAGTGAAGAGAAAGCTACAACACAACATTTTGGGCTGTTGAGTTTAGTTAAACATTAGTCTGCGAGACCAATACATTTGCCACCCATAGAGGAAAACAAAGCCCAGTAACTCCCAACCCAAACCCAGAAGGTTGTCCAAACCCTGAACTACAGCCCTAGTCTGCAGCTCCGTCTGTACCTGTTTCCGGATATCTCCCTGCTTCTGCGGGCGGATCCTCTCGAGCCAGTCCGCCCGGACTTCATTGAAGTAGCTCTGGACTCTGGACTTCAGGGACTCGTACTGCCAGATCGCCGCCGTAGCGAAGGAGCAGCCTGTAAACTGACAGGGTCTTAGTCACAAGGGCCTGCACTTCACCACTCAACATGGGTATGTCCAGTGTCAGAAGGTCGCCACATTTTTCCCTCACGTACAGATATGAGAAGTGAAGAAGATAAGAGAGCCGCTCGGGAAATTAGATAATATAATTTCTTGTTTTTGTAATTTTTTGCAAACTATGCAGTCTAGTGGCTTGAAGTAGGCTTTGTGCTCAAATATATATAAAGATGCTGCCTGTCCTTGGTCAGTAAGATAAGGGGCATGTATTTGGTAAGCTGGCTGTATGCCCAGAATATGAAAAGAACTATTGTCTAGTCGGCAACTTATATATAATTAATTGGCATGTGTTGCCGTCTTATCATTTGTTTAGAATGAGTCATAATAACTCCTTTTGTTTTAAGGTATAAAGGACCATCTTCAGCTACTTATTTTTTAAGTCTGGTGGCTGCAAGCGGGACTTCCACATGCATATGAATAAAGAGACTTCTGCTTCAGAGACACCTGAACTTTGTCATTTGTTTGACACTACAGAAGTCAGTTTTATTTATTTTTTTCCGGACAATTTCACCGCAGAGGCATAAACCCTGTTCCACATGGGCTCAGCCTGTAAAAACCTCTGCTGGACGCGCAGGGAAGGGACACTGCTGTGGACCAGGCCACGTTATGGGAGTGTCCAGCCGCAGTCAGCCCCTGGCACAGCCTGTATTCCAAACTTCCCAGGATTCTGCCCATGATGCCTGTTCCATTTAAACCTAATGATCTGTATGTACAGGTGGAAACTGGAAAGACATGACGAACAGAGACTACCTGTCCTTCGGATGAGATGTAAAACCGAGGTCCTGACTCTCCTTGGTCATTACAAATCCCAGAGTGTTTCTCAAAAAGAGTAGGGGTGTAACCCCGGCGTCCTGGCCAAATTCCCCATTGGCCCTTACCAATCATGGCCTCCTAATAATCCCCCTCTATGAATTGGCTTCATCCAGGTGGGGCTGCACATTGGTGGTGGTGGAGGGGAGTCCCCATTACCTGTAAAGCGCTTTGAGTGGAGTGTCCAGAAGAGCGCTATATAAGTGCAAGCAACTATAAAAAGCAGGTAACACATGGTCACTTTTACTGTTTTTGACCCCTGCCCCCATTTTCCTGCAATCTTGATCCACGTGGGCTACGGAGAGACCCCCCAAAAACACCCTCACCACCAGACGAAGAGCACCTACCCCTAAGGTGAACACCATGGGCTTGAAAAGCCTGGTGAAGGACCGGGCGGCTGCGGGGGCCGGGGGTTCCGAGTGCGGGGCCAACCCCTTTTTCTGGACCGCTGTGTCGCTGGAAACCGGCTGCCTGCGCCCCGCATCCTCGGCCTCCACCGGCTTCGTTTCGGTCTTCTTCGAGGCTCTGCGGAAGCCGCGCCGCTGCTGCGTCAGGAAGGCGGCCCTGCCACGCGAGAAGAAGCGCGCGTCACGGACCGCAGAGCCTCTCGCGGACCGTCCGCGGGGCCGCGCGGCCAGCCCCTCATTGCCCTGACACACTCGCACGCGCCTTACTCCTCTCGCATTGCCCACCCCAACACCCCCGCTACGCACACAGGCGTCAACCACATTCTAGCAGCTTTCAAAGAGAAAAAAGGAAAACTGTCAATAAAACACCTCTATGCGTGTACTAAGTGTGTTTATATATGCGTTTCTAAAGCCTACATTGAAAAAAATACATTATAGCCTAAATTCATTATAACAGATTGTTGACATTATACATTACACTTAGTATTAATGTTCATATAGATAATAAACCGGCTTTTGTCCGAAGAATCTGAATGATTGTTTGCTGAACAACAGTTGTCTTTTGTTTTACTTCACAACTTGTCAAAAGTTAATTAAGCCATTAAGCTCCTCTTGTCTTGAGCCAGACCTACAGATTTGCTAGGTAAGCGAAGTTTTCAAACATAGTGCCATTTACCAGACATTAGCAAATGCGCTGACCTTTACGGTACACTTAAAATAGTTTACAAAAAAAAACCTACACTACTTACATCATTTTTATAATACTGTATTTGAAAATACCTGACTTGCCAGACATAAGCAAAAACAAACACGACATTACAAATGTAGAAAAGCACGATCTGTGGTTTAATTAGAGATCTACAGACTCCAATGATGGAAGAGACCCTCTATAAATCGAGTTACAAAAATTGCATAAGGTCAGTCTGTCATCAGCTTCTTGTTTAGTTATCTTTTAACGTGACTTAACGAGAGTCGACGGTCGACTCGGTAAACGCTTTACCTACTGATAAATATTTAAGGCACGAACCTGCTTCCTCGGTAAGATAAAGTTAGGATATCCCCCTTACTCCAACATAAGAAACAGCCCCTCCACGCCATGTCTGAATTATCCCAACCAACCCTCTGACATCCCCTACCGGGTCAGCCCTAGAGATTTCTATTGGACAACAGAGCAGACGAGATCCCACAGGGACACCTAGCGGTAAGGAGGAGGAATACAGGTATTTATAATATTCTATATACAGGCAATAAAATCGAGATAAAATTATTTTAATGTTTGAACTCTTTAACGAGCTGAGAAATCCTTGATTTCGTACACAACCTACAAAAAATGTTTGTGATAACTCCGTCCGTTTAAAACTTACGTGTTTGATGCATTGAACAGCGGGCATCACACTAGTGCAATACTTCCAGTCCACATGTGAACTTTATATAAAACAGAGCCTGTACTGCAGATACAGAGCCTCATTTATGTAAGAAAAAGGGCTAAACACATTGTTATTGTGGAAATCTTAAACCTTTGTGATGTGACAGAGGTAACAGAGGTACTTCCCTGAGCCAGGCATTCCTAAAATAATGTTTTGATGTGAAATATGGAGGTATTAAATTATGTTCTAAAAGCAACTACTATAATACTCCAGATGAACAAGTAATAGGTTTATTCCATGCTGAAAAGAGAAGAAAGAAAACGCAACGTTTCGGCCTTCTTCAGGCTGCTCAAACCTCAAAAAGGCTCCATGGCCGAAACGTTGTGTTTTCTTTCTTCTCTTTTCAGCGTGGAATAAACCTATTACTTGTTCCTTTGCAGCCTATGCATGCTGATGCAGGTACCCACCTGAGCTACTATAATACTGTATTATATCTCCTTATTATTTCCTTACTAGTCCCTCTCTTTCTAGCTCTGGATTACTTGGCCATACAGCACACTGCCCATGTGATCTCGGGTGGCCAGTTTCTCATTCTGCCCAGCAAGGTTTTCTCTATCAATCTCTATCAGCATGTCTCTCTGGACGGTACTACTCAAGGCTAACGCATGTTCTTCAGGTGCAGTGTTACTCCGAAACCTAGACAACAGACCTCAAAAGTCTCACAGAATGTCTTTGGTGACCCATCTTTTATAAATCTTTTCAGGAGGAGAGACAGCCCACTGTTTGTCCCCTGTTGCAGTACTGCTGACACTTCTCTGCAAAAACCAGCAGCTAAGTGCTCCAAGATGATGATGTGTTTCCACCCTGTTGCTCAGGCGATGCAGTGGAGGGTGATGAATGTGATCTGGTTGCTGCAGCCTATTGCAGATCTCTCACTGAGCCCCTGGTGAGGGGGCTCAGTTCCTCAGTTCTGGGAGTAGCGTTATGTCATGTAAAAAATAAATTCAATTCATGTCTTTAAAATGCAACACACTAGTCTGGTTAACCCCTCTGAAAGAGGATTTCAGTGAGGGGCTTATCATTGAACCTCAGTCACATTATCACATCACATCACTTTCAATAACCACTTTTCCAGTTCAGGGTCATGGTAGCTCATAGTCTGTCCTGGGAAATACTTGGCGCAAGACAGGATATGACCTTGATACGACCCCAGTCCACCACAGGGTGCGCACACGCAGACACAAAAACACACTCACACGAGAGACAATTTCTACAGAAGCCAAGTAACCTACCAGACAGATGGGGGACCACAGTGCTGTGAGACAGCAATGCTAACCCCTGCACCACCATGCCTCCCTCTTTGGGACTGAGTTTGGCCGCGTTGAGCCATTGATCTTATTGAAATTTGGAAACTGTGGGCAAAGAGCACCACCTGGTGGTCCCAATGTGTTCTTGCTTGGGGTCTCACTTCCACTGAAGGGACTTTTAAGCCTCGGTGGACTAAATTCTTCAAGCCAAAGAAACTCAATTACCTCACCACTGTATACCTCTGTGCAAAATCATCCCAGATACTTATGAAAGCGAGTCCTAGGAGAACACTTCAGGCATGGCAGATTTTAAAAATAAAAACAGTTCGTTTTTAGCTGATGTTACTTTTCAAGGTGATGTAATATTTCTTCAATTAAGGGCTAACCAAACCTGGAAACAGAGCCTCAATCTTGGTTGTGAAGGTTACTTTTAAACATCTGTGTATATTTACTTGCAAAAATTAAAACGAGAATTTATTCATCTAGCAAGGGCTTTATTGAACTAAGTCCATCCATCTTCAAACCTCTTTATCCGATACAGGGTCATGGCGGAGCTGGAGACAAGCAACAGGCACAAGACAGGATATACCCTGGACAAGACATGAGTGCATAACTTTGGTTCTGGAAAGTGGCAGGATACTGATCTTTCCACTCCAAAGAATCTCTAAATCTCTCCATATAACAAATTGCTTGCCTTCTTAGCCAGTAGATTGTTGACCATTTGATAGTGATGGCTCAGGGGTGTAATTTGCCCTTACACTGCTTGACTATTTGAGCAGATCTCCAGTTGCTCTCTTCCCCCTTTGGAGCTACCTCAGCTTGCCCTTGCCCTGGTTGTGGAGAGCCGTACCCCAAGAGCTGCTACGGGTCACCCTTAAATCGGAAGATTCTCAACGCTCCGGACAGCTTTCCTTTGACTCACTGAAACAGCAGAGTTGTTCAATTAAGCTGTTTACAGATAATTTCAAATAGGAATCCCAACACCTTCAGATTTTCAAGGACCACTGTGCCATTCCTGACTTAAGCGAACCAACTTAACCAACTAAGTTAATGAATTGTCCAAAACTCAAGATATGTTTTATTTATTCAATGACATGACCTACTGTATGAAACCTGCTGGACCATGGCTCTTTGGGACTGGGTTTGGCCACGTCTAACCTAGAGAGCTAGCCTGCTATAATGGTCAACATACTATGGTCCGCAGTGAAAAACTGAGGGACTTCTCTCTCGCCAACCACCCTACTATAGCACTGTGAATACATTCCCCATTGTTGCCATGGACACGCACTGGTTGCACTAGCACACGCACCCTACAGTCTCTGGAAAGCTCTGAAAAGCGGCTTCCCCCGAGGGGAAATTGCACGGTACACACAATGGTACTAATCAGAAAGTGAAATGTTTTAAAGAATTTCATATAGTCTGACAACAGTTGACCCCTCCTTTGACAAATGATGATCCGTGTGTCTTATCTGATTAATTGCCAAGTTTGTCCACTATACCGGCAAATTATTTTTATTCCTTCAACAGTTATGTGTGAACAATGATTCTATATACTCCAATGCATATTCATGCTTGTTGACTTGAAACCTTAAAAGACGTGGATTTTGGAGGTGAGACACTTAAAAAAGTGCAGTGCATACTTTCCCACTGGTTTTAAATGCTCACTGTTCGGAAGGTTTTCATGCCTGAGTACGCCTTGATGTTACAATGGTGTCGTCAACAGCTGTAAATTTAATTTCACTCTCAACGCTGCACCAGCCGGCTGTGTTGTGAGGGCAGGTGGTTGTCTTTGAAAAGGGGGTAGACTGGCCCTTTAAACGCGCACTCTTTTGGTCTCTGTATTGTGGCTGGCTGGTATAAGCGAGAAACTGGCAGCTTGTTGATTACTGATCTCATCACTTTCACATCGGGGAGCATTCTCTGTCAAGAATGAAGGAATATTAAAACTACACCTTTGCGCCTCTCTTCCCCCCACTTTCTTCTGAACAGTGATGAACAGAAATAAAAGGGCTCGAGAATCTGTAAGTGGCATTCAGGATCAACGAGCTCACGAAAGTATGCAATCCGATTTCTAAAAAAAAAAAAAGAAGCGTTTCGCTTCCGCCTTGATCTCAGACACTCGAGAAAACGGGAGGACGTGGCAAGGTTTTTAGCGTTTTTCCAGTGTTGTGTCTTTCCTTATGAAGATGGCGGCTCCAGTTCTTGCCAGCAGGGCTGGAACTGTCAATAGTATCGGCAGCAGCACCAATTCTACAGCCAGCAGCACTAATAATAATAATAAAATCCATCCGAGCTTGCCCGAGCTGGATTTCAGGTCCGGAGCGAGGATTGAGGAGTTGAACAAGCTCATTCAGGAATTCAGCAAACACGACCAGCGAGAATATGACGACCAGAGAGCCCTGGAGATACACACTGCAAAGGATTTCATATTCTCTATGCTTGGTAAGGGAGATAATGATAGATTATAAAATGTCCTTTCCCCTCTAATTAATGTTTATCTCGAATTTAGAATCAAAACAGGTAGGATCACTCTGCCACAGTGATAGTTATAGAGCCATAGTAATTTTTTCCCTGTGGTGTTGGAGAACAGAATTAGTACGTATCTCAGTGATATTCTGAATAGTTGTTAATCCCTGGTGCATTTGTTTCATGAGTTTTTATGAAGTTCAGGTAGGTTATGCCCTTCGATACAAGCCATTTCTCTTAATAGCAGATTAGTTACTATGCATTGTATGCTTTGGTTCAAACTAGGTACTCTTGTCAATTTTTGAAGTTGCTTTTCTCAAATCTGCGTGGGGCTAAAAGTGAGAATATTACTGGAATAACTGTTCACTGACATCAAATGTGTTCCTTGCAGTTCATTTTCTTTATAATCACACAATGCCGGCTAACACAGGTCTTAATTTCACCAGGTACGATTTATTCTAGTCTCGAGAGATGATATTATCTCCCCTATGCAATGTCATGATTTATCAATGTAATGATAAATGTACATTAAGCAACTAACATAATCGCCATCACAACATAGTAGCTGTTATCATGCCATTATGTGTTTATAATCTCTAATCGATTTCGTTTCGTCGTTTCATATGGCGAAGCGGACGTTTTGCTTAGGTTAGCTTTTCAAGGGGACCGGGTTCAACCGCAAAGTGATTCCACCATTGTTGATCGCACCCGAAGCTTAAGAAAATATGAACAAATCTAGATTTAATAAAATACAGATATTAGATATTAGTTTTATAGTGATAAGGAAAATACAGTCAACTTTTGTCCGGTTTTAAGAACAGAACTAGAAGGGATTGTGTAGCGAAGCTGTGGAGGGTTTCTTTGTAACAGTGTTTTTTAAGGTGATTTAACACCGAAGATATCTGGAAGCTGACAGGGAAATAAATGTACATAACATTGTTCAGGCTCTCTGATAACGTTTTCGTTATTTATGGTTATTTTCATGGATTCAGAAGAAAAGCTATTCAAATAATAAACCACCGTCGCTGCCTTTTTCAAATGATATTGTTACACACTGCTGAGCTGATGTGGTAATTACTATAATACGTGTTATCATAATGATTTTTGTTCAAAACATGACTGACTCCTTCAGTGTTAGTCTAGGGACTAAGGGATGCTATTATTAATTATGAGTGGTCTTCTGCAGAACTTGTAAAATGCAGGTTCTCCTTATTGCAGCCAAAAAACCACAAAGAAAAAGAACAGTTCAGAAAAAAAGGCTTGGCAGTGTAACAGCTCTTAGATTGTAAGAAGCCTGTGCCTGTACTGTATGCCTAGAATGTTAGTTAATTTGTTTCAATTATAGTATATGATAGAATAGGAACTCACTCCATGTAAACCAAATTCATTTACATTTCAGAATCTTGTGTTTAAAAAAATATCCATCACTTCCAAATGTTATGCTTGCCCCTTGTTTACAAGTTCTAGCAGCATTCCTCATTTGTTTAATAGCATAAAATGTGGCAGCTGTTGAAAGACATCACCCTTAAATAGATTATGTGCGTGGTGAATTCAGATAAGGTTATACAGCCTACTACAGCTTCAAAATGGTAGTTGTTCTGTGCAGTTCAGCAGATTAACATTTTTTTGCCAGCTCAAAAATTTTTTCTGAATAGTTGCGCAGAGCAGTGTTGCTGGACACCATATTAGAATTTGTTAAAATGAGCACCATAGTAGAGTTTGTTAAGGCTTATTTTAGGCTTTTTGGAAACTTGTCCTCTCTAGGGTAATTAAAGCCAATGTTATGAAGATGAGAGTCTTTTTGTCATTGTTCGGGTATGGTATCCAGGGAATCACTGACATTAGAGGTGTTAATAATATTTTGATGTTTTTATACTGTTGGGCAGAATGTGAATTATCCTTGCCTGTCTCATTGCACTTGATTTAAGAGAGTTGTTTAAAGCCTGTTTTCTTAAATCTTCAGCTGAGAATGGAAACTTTAGATATATAAAAGGCTTTCCCTTTTGCTGTTTAGCAATGAAGATCAGGTTAAAATAAATGTTACCTTTTCACAGATAAGATTCTGAGGTATGTGTAGATACAGTAGTTTGCATACTGCCAAACTTTGTGGCTGTATTTGCTTGAGAGACATTTGGCCCTGCTCTCTCTTCTGGTTTTTAATAGCTAGATGATTGCCAGAGTCCCATTAGAACTCTTATTTAATTAACCCCTCCTTCAAGAAATAATTGAAAAATGGTTCGCAATGAACAAAATAATGACCCAGATATGTTATGTTTTCTCCGTAGTCTGTTGTCACCAGCCCAGCAGTATGCTTCTGAGTCAATTTTGTGAGACACGAAACATGAAATAACATGAAATCACACCTACCAATGTGATAGTGATTTGGATGAGTAACTCATAATCATAGAGAATCATGTGTTCTCATTCAGGACCGGAGCTACAGTAAACCACACAAAATTATTCATTATGGCCTTTCACCACCTAAAATGTGCAGGGTTATTCTGTATATGAACTAATACATATGTTGCTTTATGTAACCTAAAACACACAGACTTATACAGTATATAGTATGAAACAAAAACATTCTGTCAGATTCCTCAATTGGTTTAATAGCATATTGTTATTTATCAACATGGGTTGAGTGTTGAGTGATTTTTAAAAAAGCATGTGTTGGTCTTGCGTATACTACCTGTCATGTCAGTAGTATGTGTGCTCAGCTTGCAAAAGACAATTTTTGCTCTGCCCTTTGCTTACCTCTACTGCCAGAGAGGACATTTAAAAATGCTTATCTGACATCACTACTTGAAGTGTCCTTTTGTACCATGTCTGTAAGACCTGCATATTCTGTATTATGTATCCTCATGCAGAATCTGCCTCACCTGACCACAGTGTATAGAACAGTGTGGTCATTGTTAAAATTGATCTTGCTCCTCCACTTTTCTGAAACTACTTATATTAATAATCGTGCCATTCTCTAATCTTCGCAATACAGCTAACTAAGCCTGTGCTATGCTAATTTAGCTTAAGTAAACCGAAAATATTTCAGCTGTTACAAATTAGCTACATCTGATTTGGCTGAATTATTCAGCTGTTTAAGGGTTTAATTAATACTCTTAACAGTTTTTGGGGTTGTCTGTTTTTGTGAATCCCATTTGGTTGTGTACATGTTTTTATTTCCCATGGTTGCTAACTGCTTGCTTTGGAAAATGTGAAAATTTTACACTCGCAGAGGGTGAATCCCACATAGGTAGTTTTCTAGTAGCTTTCAAAGAATAATATGGCAAATTTTCCATGAAACATCTTTGTGCATTTAACATTTTACTAAGCCTACCTTGTAAAATTGATGTTATAGTCTAAAATTTCTATAAGACATTGTTGACGTTCTATGTCTCAATTTAGTATTAATGTTCGTATTAAAATTAATCAGGGTTTTATCCAAGGAAGTAAATGATTGTTTGCCAAGTAACAGTTGACTTTTGCTTGTCTCCACAACTTGTCAGAAGTCAATTAAGCGATTAAGCCCCTTTTGTTCTGAGCCAGAAGAATAGTAGTCTGGAATATTGTATAACTTCACTCACCTGCTGGGAAAAGCAAACTATTTGTTCTTTGTGAATCTCAGTTGAAAAAACCTGAGTTCTAAAAACATGTCTTCCATGCAGTGTTAGAGCAACAGGCTTTTTGACTTTTTCTATTTGAGTTTTTTTTTTATGTTCAGTAACATCAATGAAGAATAAAAATAGAACATAATGTTTTTGCTGGACAATAAGATACTGGCCTTCTGCCTAGTCTTTTAGGTTTACGATTTAAGAATGTCTGCTGTAGTGATTTGCCTGCAAAGCTACAGTCAATAAAATATATTGTTGTAAGGAAAGAAAACGTAACCTTGAAAAACCTAGAGGAGAAGACAAAGAAAATCAAGCAGATGCACAAGGTTTGCGGTGATGTGCAATATATCATTTGTTCATTAAGGCATTGTGATTTCTAACTCAAGGACATAAAAATAAGAGCTAGTGTATGTAAAAGTGAGAACAGAGGCACCCTGTTTTCAAAATGGGCTGTGGAACAAACTATTCAGCCATGGCGTTGAAGCCCATAACCTGACGTTTTAAAAAAATAGCTGGATAAGATCAAATCAGTTGCTACTAAACACGTCAGACATGCTGAATTGCTGCCTCTTGTTTGTAACACATTTTCCCATATGCTTATGAATCTGTATACCATATTCTTATATTTTATCTGAAACCACTGGAATCATTTTTATCTTAAACCCTTGTGTTGACTTGTATAGAGCTCTGCTTCAGTCATTAAACCAGCTGTTGTGAAGGTGGTGTTTCTTAAAGTAACGTTTCTCTGAACTCCCGCAAAAGAAGAGGGTAGAAGCAATTTAGACAGGGGTGGAGTGATCGATATCGGAGGCATTTTCAGTGAGCTGCCTGGGAAAAAGCAGCGGTCTTTCATGTTGGTCTTAAAAGAGTCATTTAATTGAAATGATTGCCATCACACAAAAAAATTACGGATTTCACATCTGAAGCTTTTGCCTTGAATCTTCCTTGTTTCAGACTTATTTATTACAGGAGACTGTTTTGCAAGCCATGATGAAGAAGAGATTCAAAGCTCTGATCTGCTGTTGAACCCCTAGCCTTCAATCCTTTGAAGGCCCAGTTTCACCATACAATATTGTATTAAACACTAAGGTGGTTAACCTTCTGATCCAATGCTTGTGCCAAGCTAGTTTACCATGAATCTGCACATCTCAGTGCCTTGTAATTCTGTCCCTTTCTTAGTTCTTAACATACAGTATTTGTTCTATCATTCAGAGCCTCTGTGTTGCTAGAATTGCAAGAAATGCATGAGACGTCTTGAGTGAAGGCTCCGCGTTGTGGCCAGCACTCTGCTAGTCATGCAGAGCGGTGTCTTGTAAAGTTGCAGCTGTCCACAGGCTGAGAAGGTCTACCAGAAAAATAATGAGCTATGCT